AGCTGGAAAGGGCAAGGTTTTACTTCCAAGGAGAACAGGTATGCATATGTCATACTGTATAGGCTTCCATAATGAATATTGTTTGGATTTTCTTTTTTATGCATCATAAGGAAACCTATTTTTTTAACTTTGGACAGAAAAGGGACAGATTAAAACCCTTGTCAGTTTTCTTTCTTTTCTTGCTGTCTGTATTCCATTGGGAAGATTCCACTTTACCTCCTATCCTAGCGACAACAAGGTAGTGAAATAAACCACAACTGAGGGTAAATCCTTTCTTAAATAGTTGTTGGCAGAACAGTTGTTCCCATTGAAATTGGAAAATGATCACCAGGACAAATAGAGAGGTAAACCTCCTCAGCAAGGACAGAAAACCAGACTGTGGTACAAAACTTTCCTTGCTCTATCTAAAGCTAAAAAAATTACTTTAGCCATACAAAGCACATCAAGATAGCCTACTCATCTATTCACTGAGAACAAATGGTTGTCTTCAGTTGAGCAACAATATGCTGGACTGCACCTGTACCCAGACTAAAAACATTGGGGGTATGTTCACATCATATGCAGTGGAACTGCATTGGGTGGCTATTCTATTGTAAACTTCCTCCCACCCTCATAGATCTTTTGCTTGAGGATGCTCCAAAGGTCCTCAATAGGATTGAGGTCAGGGGAGGATGGAGGCCACACCATGACTTTCTCTCCTTTATCCCCATAACAGCCATTGATGCAGAGGTATTCTTTGCAGCATGAGATGGTGCATTTTCATGCATGAAGATGATTTTATTATGGAAAGCATAGTTCTTCCTTCTCTACCAGGGAAGAAAGTGATCAGTCATAAACTGTACATACTTTGCAGAGGTCATCTTTACACCTTCCGGGGCTCTAAAGGGGCCAACCCGCTCTGTTCCCATGATTCCGGCCCAAAACATGACTCCACCACCGCCTTGCTGACGTCGAAGCCTTGTTGGAACAGGGTGGCCGCCCACCAACCATCCACTACTCTATCCATCTGGACCATCCAGGGTTGCACAGCACTCATCAGTGAACAGGACTGTTTGAAAATTAGTCTTCATGTATTTTTCTGCCCAATGCAGCCGTTTCTGCTTGTGAGCATTGTTTAGTGGTGGCCGAATAGAAGGTTTATGCACAGTTGCAAGACTCTGGAGGACTCTACACCTTGATGTCCGTGGGACTCCAGAGGCACCAGCAGCTTCAAATATCTGTTTGCTGCTATGTAATGGTATTTTAGCAGTTGCTCTCTTGATCCAATGCATGGATCTGGCAGAAATCTTCCTCAATGTGCCTTTATCTGCACGAACCCGTCTGTGCTCTGAATCAGCCACAAATCTCTTAATAGTGCGATGATCACGCTTAAGTTTTCGTGAAATATCTACTGTTTTCATACCTCGTCCAAGGCATTGAACTATTTCACTCTTTTCGGCAGCAGAGAGATCCTTTTTCTTCCCCATATTGCTTGAAACAGGTGCTCTGCTTAATAATGTGGAACACCCTCCTTTAGTTGTTTTTCCTTAAATTGGGCTCACCGGCCAATCTAATTATCACAGGTGTCCGAGATTGTTTTCAGTGATCAAAAGAGCCCTGACACACAATGTCATCCATGAGTTAAACTGAAAAACAAAATATTGCATCTTTGTGACACTTAAATAGAATTTGCATAATAATTTGGAACGCGGTGTAGTATGTCCGCAGTCTCTGGTCATCTCCTGTACCATGTCCGCAGTCTCTGGTCATCTCCTGTACTCTGTCCGCAGTCTCTGGTCATCTCCTGTACTGTGTCTGCAGTCTCTGGTTATCTCCTGTACTATGTCTGCAGCCTCTGGTCCTCTGTAGTATGCCTGCAGTCTCTGGTCATCATCTCCTGTACTATATCTGCAGTCTTTGGTCATCTCCTGTACTATGTCCACAGTCTCTGGTCATCTCCTGTACTATGTCCACAGTCCTGGTCATCTTCTGTACTATGTCTGCAGTCTCTGGTTATCTTCTGTACTATGTCTGCAGTCTCTGGTTATCTTCTGTAGTATGTCCGCAGTCTCTGGTCATCTCCTGTACTCCACAGTCTCTGGTCATCTCTTGTACTATGTCTGCAGTCCATTGATTCAGAATTTTTTATCTTCGTTTCCTCCTCTAAAATCTAGGTGCGTCTTATGGAGTGAAATATACGGTATCTCCATTCTGTCCAAAATAAAATAAATGTTTTGCCTTTAATTATACTTTGAGTACGTTAAGCCTTAAAAGAGGCAATGTCCTGGAGTATAGGCTGTACTCCAAATGTAAATAGCATGCCACATATCTCCGTTTTCTTGTACTGCTGAACAGAATGATGTTATGTTTCTGTCTGTAAACTTCCCCAGTACACACACCGATCACTTTCAGCTGCAGTTCTGCCACCTGCTACGTAATGAAAGGGTTATTGCTTTGTGCTGCAAGAAGTGAAACAGAAAATAAAGTGCTCTGTTTTTCATCTCACTCTGAGCCAGGTGCTTCGACAAAACAAAGAATAAAACACAGATGAAAACTGATATTATAGATGTGATTTGGATGGCCTTAGAAGGAACAGAGGAACAATGTATGACAAAGAGCCAATAGATGCTAAGTTTTCTATTAGAACCTTGCACTGGGGGAATGTATGACTAAGAAAAGAACACTGTGAGGACTATTTTGAAAAACTAACAAATGGCGTGCACTAGGTAGTGCATGTAAATCCATTTGTTAACAATGAAATAAATAAAAAGAATGGCACTCGCAAGAGCTGAAAGGTTCAATCACAGAGCGGTATATACAGCCAAGGCCAGTGTACGCAGACCTTTCTCTCTCCCTCTACAGAAGTCATCATCAAGGGAAGAGTGGAATATCTGACAACCTGGATCAGAATGTACTGCTGACAAACTGTTCTCTTCTTCATAAATACATTTCAAGATATAGTAGGCAAACATGTAACCAGGGAGCTTAGATCAGAAGGTGATGTGGTCTAGGACCTGCACCATATTGGTGAGGACCTCATCACCTGCTGATCTAATCTCACTGGTTTCATCTATGCCTGTCATGTCTTGAAATGTATTTCTGAAGAAGATGACAGATTGTCAATGGCTTTAGTATATTCTGATCCAGATTGCCACAAATTCTACTCTATCCTTAATGCTGGCTTCTTTAAAGGGAGTGAGGATAGATTGTGTTAAAGGATCAATAGACATTTAAAGGATAAGTTCACCTTTTGGACAAAAATAATGAATGCACATTTTTTGGCAGGTAAAAAAATGTGCATTTATTATTTTTGTTCAAAGGAGCCTGTAAAGCATTGCACCAGCGATCTGTAGATTGCTGATGCCATGCAGGTCTCCTGCAGACATGTCATAATATCTGCTTACTATATGGGATGTACAAGCAAGCAGATATACTGACTGGAAGCTTCAATGCACTACCATGTCGCTCCACAGCACTGAGGTAGCTCGTTGAAAACTACAGCCGCTAAGGCTGCCAGGACTTGTAGGCACTCATTCACAGAACAACGTGAATGAGTGACGTGGCCATGTGGGCGAAGCCCCTCACAGTCGCCCTGTTTTCAAATATGACAGATAGTACGTGGAAAGGGGGGGGTGGCAGGCGTGGCTGCAGCTATGGGAACATGTTACATGTTCCACCCTAAATACGGGTTGAACATGTAACATGTTCCAAAGGTGAACTAATCCTTTCATACAACTTTTGAATTGCTTCATCCCTCAAATACCCAAAGTATTTTGATTTGTGTCTGTAGAGGTCAGTGGGTTTGAGTGCCTGGTGTGCGCAACTTACATGACTTTACTTTGGAAAATTGCAGCAATTTTCTCACTGCTCTCAATACAAATGCAGCAATCTTTCTTCAACCCCAAATCTCAAATATGCTTGTAGGAATAAATAGAAAAATGTCTCCCTGTAAGTGAAATTTAGCTGAAGCTGAAACTTGTTAGCACAAAATCTACTCTTTTATGTTTCTTTATTTAAATAATGTATGTGCATGTTGGAGGATGGTAAATGTAGCATAGTTTATTTAATGTATTTTCCTTTTTTGTCTGTTTGTGTTCTGCTGCTTTGAATATTATTATTTTCCCTTTTCTACTTTTTTTTTTCTTGTGAAAAAAAAACAAATAATTGAGATGATGATGGGCATTTTTTCCAAAAGAACAAGTCCTGAACAGTTAAAAAAAAACTTTCTATAACCCCTGAAGCCATTTTTTGTTGTTGCAAAAAAGGCAGGAAAATGAAAATGTAAATTTTTGTTTATCCCTTTATGTAAGCAGTGAATGCAGCAAATCATCATTATCTGTTAAGTAATGACTTCTGTGAGGGTGTGCAGCAGTCCAACAATGTACTATAGTTATATTATATTTAAAAAATGAGTGATTTGAGCATTTGACATTTATCAAAATATCAAATCAAGTGCCTTGTCCTTTAACTAGTGCTTATATTACCTAACTGAGAAGGTGAAACCCACTGCAGGCACCACTAAGTCTAACGAGGAAGGCTTTGTAAAGCCGAAACACATTAGCTTTGTGGATCCTGTATTTACGTAACCTCTAAAGATTTACATTAAGAAACTTCTAAATTTGTGGCTACCTATATTGTGGGTTCATGCTGCAAAGTGTACGCCTTAGCCAGTGCACCAGTCTTCTGTCTCCATGTTTTGAACAGAGCAGTTGAGCTTGGGTAAGATTTGTCTCAACACTAAGCCTGATGACTAAGAATTATTCAGTGTTTGTATTTCACATAAGGGTCCATTTATATTTTTGTGATGGCAAACCATCTATAGGGAGCAGAAGATTGGGCGTCTAGGGATTTAAAATGAAGCAAACAGAGTTTAAATACAGAATTCCTTTATACTTTATCCAAAGATTAAAGTGATACTAAACCCACAACAGTAAAATCAGTCTGTATATGCAGTAAAGCATTCTTGTTATACTCACAGTGGAACCTAAGGGGTTAATTGTCTGCATTCTGTAAAAAGGCTGTTTGATCCTGACTTCTCTAATCCTCCTCTTCTTCCAGTGTCCCCCTCTTATCACCTGATAAGACATATCATGTGGAGTCACTCTGCACATGCTCAGTTTGGTGTCACTCTGCACATGCTCAGTTTGGTGTGTATTGCTGGCAGGTTTTTTTTTTTCTTTGGAGAGTGCATGTGATCAGCACATGGCCAATCAGCACTGTTCATACAGATGTCAGGGGTCCTGCATCTAGCTAAAGCAGAATTAAAACTCCTCCTAAAAGCTTTAAGATGTACTCTGCTGGACACTGATAGAAGTCACAAGACTGCTCTAACTGCTGATGAGAAAAGGTAATTAGCAGTTTATATTTACTAGAATAATTGCATTTCCACGTTCTGTGTACTGTGGGAGACCAGATATAATGAATGCAGGGTCCTGGGTTTAGAAACACTTTAAGATTTATATTCCACAGTTCTGTAAATGCAGGTCATGAAGACCCATGCAGGTCAGATGACAGTATTGGTGTAAAGCCCCCTCCCTGCCCCAGTTGTACTCACAACTCTTGCCTCTGCTGCATCAAGCACTGAAATCCAAGCTGTTAGCTGATGTTGAACGCTAAGGAAAATGGTGACAACACTCCCCTGATCATGTGCGCAGAGCTAGTGATTGGTTGATAATAGGAGAAGGACAGTAAACAAAAAACTGACAGGAGTTTTATTCATTCCCCACTCTAGTATTAGATTTCTGTTAATGTGCAGTGTTTGTGTAAGGACAAGCACAGAATTATTGTAAGTTTCAGTAGGTTTGGCCATTCTCCGATGAACCCAGGGAAACACACAAGACAGCTCATAAATGCTAACAAATACAATAGTCCATCAGGCAAAGGTAACAGTTTCCAGATTGCCAGTTCAAACTTTAGCTACAAGAGGTCAATAATTCAGCCAATCAAAGAACACAATTTTAAACTTTTAATAAATGAACCTTGTGGGGTGGGTCTGATTAACAGAATTTGTTGCTTTGTGAGATAAAGGTAAAGTTTAGTTGTCCTGGTAGATCCTCTGTCTTCTAATTCCCAGATCTCCTTAGTCAGTTCAGTTTTATGCTGATAAATGGCTTGTGCAATGAAATCCACAGAGTGATCACTCTGCTCAAATAGAATTTTCTTCAGCCTGCAAAGTGGACGTAAAAGAACTGATTATATCCAAATGAAGACTGATTATGCTTGATTGATTACATTCATACACAAGATATGCGTTGTTTCAGCCAGGAGCATTTTATCATTGCCCAAGACATAACTGAAATGGATACAGAGAGTGTGACCCAAATTATTTTGCTATGCACTGCTATGTGCAACCCTGGGGAAAATTTCCACATGCCTTTCATTTAACAGTTTCATGCTTCAATTAATATATAATAATACACTTTAGTCTGATGTATGGTCTATGGTACTACATATCCAATTCATATCTATTGCAAACATACTGTATCTTTCAAAGTATTGGACTGCCAAAGGTCACAAGTAAACCAGCAAAAATAAACCTTTAAAATCTATAATGTTTTATGACCATTCATAATAAAACATTATTGGAAGTACATTTTACATGGTTTTGTGTCATTGATCACTGTTTTGTTCAACCCCTCAAAAAAAATGGAGAGATAGGATATTGCAATTAATTGGCAAAATAAAGCAAGATCATTACAACAAACAAATCAATATATTGCTAAAATCATATAATTACAAAATAAATGTAAACTCAAGCAAAGCTAAATTATATACAGTATATATTCTATATCCAAGAAAAGTACTGTATGTACAAAAATGTGAAAATAGAACATATTAAATAAATACCAAACTTAAATAATTTATTATTTCAATGATTTTATTACAAGGAGGGCATGATCTTTCCTATTCTATCACTTCTGCTGCACATACAAGCACAATGCTATAAGAAGTATTTATACCTAAACATTTCATTAAGTCATTTGTATCCATGCAGTCTCTTTTTCAAATGACCAAAATCTCCTCCTCTAGGCCCTAGAGAGTCTAGGGTATTCAAAGATTCGATCTAACCATACAAAATAATAACAGAGGTGTGCAAATTATAGTCCAACATGTTTACTCATTGGAGTTGGTATTTTGCCAATTAACCTTTGCCCTCAAAAGGATTTACCCCCCTTCCTGACCAGGCCATTTTTTTTGTGATACGGCACTGCGTTAATTTAACTGAAAATTGCACGGTCATGCAACACTGTACATAAATGAAATTTATGTCCTTTTTTCCCCACAAATAGAGCTTTCTTTCGGTGGTATTTGATCACCTCTGCATTTTTATTTTTGCGCTATAAACAAAAAAAGACAGAAAATTTTGAAAACCCCCACCATATTTTTGACGTTTTGCTATTAAACATGTCCAAAAAAAACAAAAAACAAATGTCATCATAAGTTTAGGCTAAATATATTGTGCTACATGTCTTTTCTAAAAAAAATCCCAGTATGTATACATTAATTGGTTTACGTGAAAGTTATAGCGTCTTCAAATGGTGATATATATACTGGAATTTTTTTTTTTTTTAATTTTATACTAGTAATGACGGCGATCAGCGACTTATAGTGGGACTACGGTAGGCGTTCTGACACTGGTTGGGAACTGACTAACTGCCACTGACATCCCCAGTGACACTAATACAGAGATCAGTGCTAATAAAAAGCACTGACACTGTACTAATAGCAACGGGCAGGAAGGTATTAACTTATGGGCGATCAAAGGGTTAACTGTGTGTTGTGTATGTGTTTTATTATGTGTGCTGTGTGTGTTTTACTAGGGAGGCATGCTGTTTTGTATTTCTCGTCCTTGCTGGCAGGAGAGATACCTGTGTTATTTACATACAGATCTCTCCCCTGTCAGCTTTGCACAGCGATCGCCGGTGCCGTCGGGGAATCTCCAGCCGGGACCTGGTGATTGACATGCCTAGCCGCCAATGGTGACTCAGGTAGGCTGGAGCACATACCTACCCGGAAATTCAGTTCTCATACATATATGTGATTTTGCACAGCCCTACGACCCTGTAGCAGTATTTCTACTCTAGGGCAGCTAGGAAGCGGGTAAATACATAAATAAGATTGTAAATTAAACCTTTATTAAACTCAAAAGCAAACATTTATTATATTGTAGCTTACCAATTCTTAGATTTGATGGCTGTATTAGTTTTCTTTTTCAGCTTTCTTTTTTATTTTCACCTGGTGATCAAGCCAGTAAGTCTGTTGTTTTTCAAAGGAACAAGCTGTTATGCAAATGTAGCAGTTTAGAATATAGAGACAAACCATTTGCCACTGACGGGTGCTTACAATGATTAGATTTTTATTTTATGTAAAATCTTTATGCCAAAAGAGAAAATAAATGTTGCTGTAACTCCAGTGTAAATGTAGTTTGAGCTGGTGTTTGGCTTGAATATGTTAGTGTACCTAAATCTACTAGTACATCTAACACTCCCCTCCCCCAAGACTAAAAATGCTGCTGTCGACAGAGTTCAGCTGACTTCCATTATGCAATAATGTGCAAGCAAAGATGCTGTTTTTTTTTTATCCTTTTATGTGATTGGGTACAATTTGTAAAGTGAAGCTTTACTAAGCTCTGGAGCAACTGCTCTTGCAAAGTGCATAGTCTATTCTCCTTTAGTAAATCAACCCCAAAGAATAATGGCACACAGACCTATGAAATGTAATAAGAACGGAAATAAAATATTAGAGATTTATAAGGGATTATTTACATTGGTGTACTTCTGTCTTTTGGTATTTTTAACCACTTACTGTCCACTAACAGTGGAATTACTGGTAACGGGCAGCAGCTACCTGTATGTTGCTGAGCACATGCACAATGGTGCGCTCCCTGGGGTGCCCAGTGGTGCAAACCCCTGAGCACTGTGTTCTGTGGACAAAGCAGACACAGTGATAGGTATTGGGGTATCACGTGATCACTATGATCAATCATAGTGATCACATGATAGCAATGTAAGCAACATGGATGGCTTCCATTCATGACAACTTTCTTACTGTTGTGAAACTGTGATTGACCCACAGCTATCACATGGTACCTGAAATAATGGACACAAAACACTATCTACATGTGGACTTCTGAACTAAGGTCTCCTCCAAAAGGCCAAAGAGAAAAACTCTCACTTCTCCAGTCACTGCTATACCGCCACACCATGCATTGTCAGTCTGTGGACGCTGGCAAGCTCTTGCTTTAACTGGGGAAGACCCACCAATCACAGAGAGAGCAAACTCTGCAGGGGATTCCTTCTGTCACTATTTGTACAAGTTGAAGAGAAGCAATCCCTGCCAAACAAACAATTAATACTTACCTGTCCCACTGTCCATGCAGCCAAACTCCTTATCGTTGAAGTAGGAAACTTAATGAAAGATCTTCTACAATTGACATTCCAGAAGTGTCAGATGCCAGAGCCCACCCCTGTGCTCTGTGGGTCCATCCACCAACCCCTATATCCCTAAAGCACACACTAGTTTTGTAGGGGGCCAGATAGAATCACAGCGCACAGTGGTGGACCAGGTATCCAACACACCAGGAGCATGTGAGGATTCAAGTTTCTCTCTTCAGTTTAGCAAAGTGTAGAAGCAGGACAGGTAAATATTAATTGCTTGCTTTGCAGAGATTGCTTCTACAGCTGCTGAAAATAGCAACTGCTTCAATTCAATTACTAAAAATAGAGGCAGATTTGCGTTAATTGGGATTAACAACATCTTCTTAATGACCACCTAATGAGCTGCATACAACAACGCATTCTAGCAGCAGTTTTTACTAAAATAATCATGGTACAAAAGAGCATCATCATTCTGGTGTACCTAGGAGCAGCATGATGTCTAAATGCTATTTGCATGAAGTCATCATTGTAATTCTTTACACTCACTAACAGTATAGCAATCTTTTTCAGAATGCAGTGCTCATTTCAGAGGTTTCAATGGTAGGAATGACTGGAAAAGAACATTTTAAAGTGATACGTGTCCCTGTGTCCTGCCTAGTTTAGAAATTCATCACTTAAAGTTTATGAATAACATTTAAATTCATACCTCGCATCAGCAGGGCACATATCAGTATCAAATATTCTTACTTCTATTTTGAGTAAAAAAGTACCTTTGCCATGACAATAAAATCTGCTGTTTCAAAGCTCCCTCAGCCTAGGTGGTTTAGGCAAAATGGTCTCTGGCTACCAAAACATATTCATCAAAAACTGCAATTTATGCATACAAAAAGTGTTTTAATACATTAAAAGATATATATATATATATATATATATATATATATATAGTGCATCCAGAAAGTATTCACAGCGCTTAACTTTTGCCACATTTTGTTAT